AAACGTTGATGAGATTAGTGTCCACTTTCTTGGATATGGATTCGTTGATTAGCGGAAAGTCATTGATTATGAGAAACTGTTTGATATCCCAAATGAGTTTCAACAGGGATTCACTCGCGCGGCATATGTTGGCCGCTCGACAGCACATCTCATACGCCACGGCCTGTGTCTCGGATGCGGTCAACACAGTCTCGGCGTCCGTCTTAACCATTAGTAGGATTCGCGTCAAGTTCTCCACAATTTATGAAAAGTCGCTTTTTATATGACTTGAGCTGTTGTTCTTGCAATATCACCGTAACTGATCCCAAACCCTGACCATAACAAACAGACACACAATGCTATCAATATTGTTATCATTGATAACTTATCATTACATCCGATCCTAAAACAACACTTTTCAGTGATAAAAGATTTAAAAAAGTTTTCAATAAGTTTTACCAAATTAAATATTTGTTATAAATTATTTACATTTTAATTTATATTATTGTAAATTCCATAACATTTTATTTTAATTGTTTTTAAAAATTTTGAATTATTTTAATTTTAAAAGTAAACGATCGGCAAAACAGATGACAAAAGCACAGCACAGGACAGACGGTCACAGGTTTGGGGTTCGGCTCTTCAGACACTGGTTAGGAATGACTCGCACCGACCGCTCGACACACAGTCTGGACCCGCGATTGACAACTGGTCTCAAGCCATACACGCATTGGGATCACTGCCGACACCGGTAGTAATGCCGATGGGGTTTAGGCTATGAGTTGATACCCGACTAATAACTGTCACCCAAAGCCAGTACTGGAGTCAAAACCAGGACTGGTTGGGCGCAGACATGTCGGGCCAACTGTCCTCACATCGCAACGCCGACACTGAGTCGCACCGGTAGTCGAGCGCTTCCGACCACATGGAAGGGATGGCCGAACACCAGACCTGTGGCCAACAGTCGAGCGCCTCTAACGACTATAAACAATCTGAGAGGGGGTGGAGTTCGACCACCACATCAAAAATCGAAGGGCGGGCGGGCCGGGAGGCGGACACCGAGCGGGCGGGCGGTGGGTACAGGTGTCCTCTTCCGGGGGTTTACTAACACTTGCTTTTTCCCATTTAGGACTCATCGCACGGGTAGTCGAGCGCCTCAAACGACTTAAAACAACCTGAGAAGGGGTGGAGTTCGACCACCACATCAAAAAAGCGAAGGGCGGGCGGGACGGGAGGCGGACACCTATGGAGTGGGCGGTGGGCACAGGTGTCCCCTTCCGGGGGTTTACTAATACTTGTGTTACTTTTTATTTATAGGACTTGTGGTCACAGATGGCTATAACACGAGTGGTTCGGGACTACAAACTAATGGCCGACTGGTGTGGCTCTGGTAGTCAATGGCTTCTGTTTTAAATCAATTTTATTGTCTTTTATTTAATTTTAAATATTCTTTGAAATAAATTGTAAAAGTCTAAGAAATGTTTATAATCTGTTTTTGTTGAAATAAATTATAATTGAAATGATTTGGGTTTAGTTTCAAGAAACCGATGGATTGTATATCAAATATATGGTTGGATTTAATCATTATTTGACTTTTTAGTGTTCACTTAAATCTAAAACCGATAGATAATTAAATTACGAGAACTAACTTTTGATTGTTTTAAAACGGATTTATTCTTATCCCTTATATTCATATTTTATTAATTATGAAATATATTTGTATACAAAATATCATTGTTTTGTGGTTTGAATTGACTTTTGAAAGAATGTAATCCTAGAATGTTCTACAGTATGACATATTGTGTACATTTTTACACTTATGTGTAAAAACTTTGATAGACTTTGATTTATAGATAAAGTTGAAAATCAAATCTAGATCTAATCCTCACATTACGATTATTGTCTGTTATTATTAAATTCAATGAAGAATGAATTCGTAAAAACTTATTTCGATATAAATTCAAAACAATATAATTTTATTTAAATATAAATACATTTCAATAAATTTTAATAATAATTTAATATTACATTCAAAATAATAATTACATTTGATTTTCAGTTTGTATTTAAGA